TGGTAGGTACGAGGAAAATTGATAGACAGAAGCAAGGTTTTCACAAAATTTTCCAGTCAAGTGAAGCCTCTGGACATTTCTCAGACTGCTCATGATATAAGTTGTCCGAAGAACAATGGAAAATTTTGTCGCAAAAATATAGTTTTTCATAAAATGACAGCGAATAAAAATTTTTTATGTTCACCTGAGATATTGAGTAAGTTTATCGCGAATTTTGCGTATGCTCGAACTGGCTCTCCTGGAAATATTGCGATCAATTCAGACTAATTATTGTATCAATCAATATAAATTGTATGGATTGTCGGCAGATTTTCAGCCCCCGCGCGTAACCGACCAGCGGCAACCGCGGGCTCATCCGTTGTCGTTGATGATCGTATTATATTGTTGATGATTCAGCAGTTGCAGTTCAATGCAAAATTCAAAAGGGCACAAAAATGTAACGCTCTCTTCGCATTTCCCATCTTACAAAAACGGTCACTCGTGTTGGAATTATTACAATGAATCCGTCACTTTTTCTTACACCACTACAATCAAAAGATTTTTTTGGATACATTCATATTATTATTATTTTAAGTCTACCATCATCACATGCACAGAAAACAGGAGTCGTACAGAAAACGAGCTGTCGAGTCACAGAAAATGAAAATGATATAGCTATTAATCCTTACCTGCATTAAATTCAGATTTCTTCTGGACTCTGAAACTGGACTCTGAAATTTTTTTTAATATTCTTACGTATAGGTCGCATATAAATAACGAGAGGCTGCTGCATGGATTTTAAAACAGCCGACCTGCAGGCTGTGGCTCTGTAGTGATTCGTATTCATAACTCGTACTATCATCCTTGTGACTGTTATTAAATAATTTTATTCAACCTTCAAACTCGTGATTATCAACCTATGTAACTACGTATATGTAACTTAGTTATCTTGATCTCGATTGTTATTTCGGATTTTATCAATTTCATTATTAATCCATTATAAAAATATCCAGTCAGTAAATCATCAATTCTCAAGCACGAATAACACTAGTGTAAAATCTGAATGATAAAAAGTTAAGTCAATGTCGAAATGCTTTTATGTTTAATTAGTGCTATCAAATATTGTGAATTTTGTTTAGAATGCCCAGTGAGTCAATCACACACAATAGCGGCAATTTCTGTCTGCTACCGTGGAGTTAACAGCTAAGGGGAAAGTTGCCACGTTCTTTAGAATTTAATTCTTTTAATTTAATTTTTAGTTTACATTCGCAAACGAATGTAAACTGGACAGATTTGAAGAAAATTTTGAATATAAATTCTTAACTATCCAACGGTGGTGTTTAGCTTGTGAAAATTTTTTATCTATTGCCTTCGTTCGTGAGTTTTTATTCACTTCACCCTCATTCGTGATTTAAACAACAATACGCACTTAGATTCGCAGTGAACAAGAAATTTCTTCTAAAACACTGAACAGATTTGAGCGAAACCTTGTATGTAAATACTTATCCTCCAAACAGTGATGTTTACCTCGTGACAATTTTTTTCGATTTTGTCTTCGTTCGCAAGTATTACGGATATACGGAGAAACGACCGTTATTTTTGAGGCCGATTTTTGAATTTGCATTGACCAAGAGCCGTATACGTAAAGCCGTATAACTCGCAAACGAAGGCAAAATTTTGGCTCGTTTCGCCATATTTTGGCTCGTTTCGAATGCAGGTGAAATTCAAAAAATTTTTACGTACTAAACATCACCGTAAGGTCCTAATGAATACGCGCACCAAGTTTCATCGAGCTACGTTCATTACTTTGGGAGATATTCCTTGTTCACTGAAATCGGAGACCAGCCGTGAAACCAGCCGTGAGACCGGACGCGAGACCGGCCGCGAGACCTGCCGCGAGACCAGCCGCAAGTCCGGTCGTAAATTTGTCCGAGACGTTGGCTTAATTATGTACAATTCACCTGCGAACCTTTATGTATGTCAACATTAAATATAGTGAATATAAAGTAAATATAATCCGCATTGTAAGCCACTTTGCTAAAGTCCAGTCATAATATTCATAATATCTGATAATTTTGTAATAGTTTTACGTTCTGGTAATAACGAATATTAGTATTTTGTAATTCACGATGATACAGATTCTGTTACGCAGTGCTAATTTAAAACACTTCGGCAATTTAACTAAACACTTTGGCATGACACCCCACGCCACGCATTCGATTTTCTGTCGCGCTAACAAAAGGTTCTTTCTCTTGCGTTCTGGTAAAAATACCTAATCCACTGAGTGAATGCATGTAAACGTTAATAAATGTAATATATGTATTATAGAAATATGTTCATTTTGTACTTAAAAGTAAAACGAAAATTTTTACATAATAGCTAGATCCTGCTTAGAAATTGTATGCCGACCAACCTTAGCCTTAGGGGCTAGTTAAGTGACTGAAATCTGATTCTGTTTAGTAAATCAAATGAAGTTGAAGCATTAATCTCAGCTGATATTCCCTTGCTAGAGTGAAGTTATCAGTGAAACTATTTGTAATAATTTTATGAGAGGAAGTGTTAGTAGATTGGATAATAGTGGATTAAATCTCATATCCTTTGAGAATCATCTTTGTTGCTTTGGGAACATTTATCGTTAAGCGTAATAATAATGGTTTACCAGTATTAAAAGTTCGAACCTAAATTTGTTTCGCGTAATTTCAGAATACTAACTTCCATGTGAATTTCATGTTCTAATTATGTCCTTCTTCGAAGGTTTGTCTCTCTTCCGCGCACTATATTTTACAGTTTCCTCATAACATCTTATATCCCATAACCTCCTTATACTTGCGCTGATTTTATCTGATCGATTCTGCCATCTTTTCACGCCTCATAACTGAGTCAACTTCTGGCCCATCTACCAGAATAAACTAGCCTGAATATTTCTTCAGAGCTTTATTATCCTACCTACCAGTAGAACCTCTAAATTCCTATGATAGCCGCGACTCCTTTCAACATCAAGAGCCCCACACAGCGTCGCTGATGCTATTGCTACAAATGAAAAAAACATTGCGCTGCAGAAATTCTTCGCATGAGATTTCTAAGCGTGGATTCTTTGCGGAAGATTAATTAAGGTTATGCCTGTTTAATTATTATTTTAAAATATTTATTTAACGAATCCTTTTGTACTTGGCGAAAATTGATTGAACATTTACATGTATCATGAGATTTGATCGAGCCCGAATCAAGTTATTCGTAATCGTTATTGAACAGTCGTATATACTAATAAATAGGTTGTTATTAACACCAGCCTAATCCTTCAATTTAGATGAGATAAGGTGCGAGTGAAACTTTGACGGTAGAAATTTAATTTTGCTCGCTGATAAAAATAATCTCATTCTCATTGCATGCACGCTTTCTTGAATAGCAATAAATAATATTGATTCCTATTGAGATTTATTTAAAACTTTTTAACACTAGTGTCCCAGAGACCACACCCTCTTCTATATTGACAAACCTGGATTCTCATAGATCGACCAGCGGCAACTGATGGATAACCATATAATCATGCGAGCCTTGGAGACCTTCAAACCGGTTTTTTACTCTTAACTTTTTTTTCTCTTTACTGAGCCTTTTTTCATACTCAAGTTTCAGTTGTAAAAACTTGGAAAACCTGAAAAGAATTTGTGATCAAAAATGAAAGAAAAAGATCAAGAGATGAATTAAATTTAAAATTTAAATGTATGGGATTTCAGAATAAGCAACAAAATTACATGAATAATCAATCGAACGACCAAGTTAAAAGTAAACACACAGTGGAGATCGAAAACAATTAATGGCCAGGTAAACGCGAAGCAGCATAAAAACTTTTTTATTAAAAATTTCAAGCGAATAATAACTTTATTAGTGTTAATACGACAAGGATTTTAGACTTTAAAGATACTCTGTGAACCGTGGAAAGTAAATTCATAACCACGTTCTGAAATAAGTGTAGCGAAATTGCTAATTATTAACGGGATTTCAATCATCATACAATGTCGAGAATATCTTACACACTGAACATATCGATCAATTGGTAATTATAATTAAACTATTCTCTGTGAAGAAATTTTGAACGAATACGCACTATTTTTACTTTTGTCTTATAATATTTTTAATATTCGTGCATTGAAGTGAAATCTATACAAGCACTAGGGCCACTTTATCATTAAAATAATATGTAAAAAAATATAAAAAGTGAAAAATATTATAATGGAAATTGTTAGAATATATCCATGGACGCATTATAATGATATTTATCTTAATTTCTAATAGGATAAAAAATTATTAACTTTAATTCATTCGATTATTTTTGTTATTAAAATCCATTCCTGGATTTTTGCATTTCATTTTTTGCATCATAAATTGCATTCAAAATTGGAATTCTCCCAATATTGATTTATTTTGTTTTGAAGTACTAGCAACTGAAATTTTGTAAAATTTCTATTCCTTTAGTTTTTTTAAATTACTTCATGCTCAATTCAGTAACAATTCCCGGTCGTTGAGTCACTAGAACACAATAGAATATTAGTTTTTAACGTCAAATTGTCATTTTCAGCACATTTTGAGGGGATTAAATCAAAATTAAAGACACTTGCTGTACGACACATGCTGTAAGACACATGCTGTCGCTGTTGTGAGACACATGCTGCAAGATACATGCTGTACGACACATGCTGTAAGATACATGTTGTAAGACACATGGTGTCACTGTTGTAAGACACATGCTGTAAGACACAGGCTGTCACTGTTGTAAGACACATGCTGTAAGACACATGCTGTCACTGTTGTTAGACACATACTGTAAGACTAATGTTGTAAAACACATGCTGTAAGACATCCCAGTGACTGCATGGGTGGCAAAAATACTAGTTTATAGATCACGTATGAAAATTTTTTATGATTTTTTGAGTTCGTAAAAAGAAGTTTACCGTGGGGGAACCAATTCTCCTATCGTATTTATAATGCTGAAGCACTTGAAACCTCAGCACTGCTCTGAAAAATCGTCTGGAGAGCGGACAGTTCACTGCGGAAACCGTGAGATAATACCAAGAACAATGAAAGCACTGGTAAGTTGTACGGCTAAATACGGTTTTGCACGATTTTCTAAATATGATGGTGATCCAGATGATTCTGTACAATAGTTTATTGCAGTCTGTGTGTAAATAAATGAAGTGAACTATGCGTCGCGTATATATACATACTAAATGTAATGTACATAATAAATCGTATATAGTAAATGCAAATGACCTAAACTATACGTCGTGCATTATAACCTAGGAAGATGTCAAAAGTACACAAATAAAGTGACAGTAATACATGAATTCGGATTACGGAATTGCTTCTAAAAATTTGGTGAGCATCATTTAGTGACCATATTTGGTTTATAACCGAGACACCGATAAATTGGATGTTATACACTATCTATGAGTAATATATTGAATATTGACTATTAATTTATGTTACTATTATCACTATATAAATATTTAGGCTGTTATTTCTATAAATAGCTCTCTATGAGATTTGTTTTTAATATTGAATTTGACCAAAAATAAAGGTGGTTCGTTAATTTTTGACTGGCTATTCTGAATAAATAGTATAAATATATGAATACCTAATATTTCCGCGTGCATTTATTATTAATTTAAATCTTCATAAGTATATGAAGGTCTGTCAGTGCAGAATATCAAACTAAGTAACAATATTTCCCTTATTAATCATAACATAGACACTTTTATGATACAACACAAGAATTCGTCTATTGATGTGGATAATAAAATGTATACAAATTAATAAAAAATTAGGCTTTACAGTTTTTCATTTATGTGATATGATTATCATGCATTTAACAATATTTTGTTTTCTATTCGAGTACTTCATTTTTTTAATAATGTTGAGGATCTAATTATGCCTTTATTTTTTCAAAAATCATTTAATGCCAAAGGTGAATTCTGTAATGTATAAGGTACCTTAATTATTTTATTCTACACTTGTGCTCTAATTTAAGTTAAAACTTAGAATTTCTATCTTGCTTATGCAAAAAAAATACATTACTCGTCGATTTCCAAGAATTACAATGGCCCAGGGACTGTCAATTCTATCAACATGAAATTGTTACCGACAATTCTGTGATAGTTTAAAGCAATTTTAGATCACAACTACGAAAGAATTTTCTCTGATTTATATCATTGATTAAACTTTCGGAAACTTATATTTTTTTCTAAAATTACAGAGTACCTCTCATATAGCATTCTTTTTTCTTCAAGGCCAGCAAAATTATTATTACACTCCTTACAATTTAAAACATATACAAATAAATCAACTATCGTTAAATGTAAAACAAATTCACCTTTTATTCGCATGCTTCCTGCAAGTATTGCAGTTCCTGTTTCTGTTGGTGGTGGCAGCCCTGTTGATGCTGTTGAGTTCAACAGAAGCAGCACCTCGAGCAAACCCATTCCTGTTCGGCAGGTCCTCCAGTCGAGGACGAAACTCCCGCGAGAGCATCTTCGAGACCATCGGCGATATTTCTCATTAATGGAAAAATGCACTATTGTGCTCGCCATGTCCGTCTGTCTGTCTGTCTGTCTGTCTGTCCGTCCGTGGCCTCAAGTTTTCGTCGACGAGAAAATGCGCTCTCTGTCACTCACTGCAGTGAGTACTGAGTTATATTTTTTGTTTGATTGGTGATCAACGAGTCGGACTGTGCAAGTCATCCTGTGTAGAGACCGGCCTGACAACAAGTGATATTTCTGATATTGCTGTTAGTGCTGAAACTTGAATTGGACTCAGAGATATATTACGTAAAATTCTTTGGGAAGGGATCATTGTCATTTTTATTTTCTATATAATTATTTATTGCACCAAAATTTATTGGTGAGATTATATTGTATGATGGGAATTATAGTACAAATTCTCCGAAGAAAATTCTTTGGTCAATATTTTTCTATTTTTTCGCATTGGTAAAGAAATGACTTTTCGGTTAGTGTCTAAATTTGCCTAAACGAAGCGAGAAAATGTAATGGAAAAGAGGAATCCGGCCTGCCAAGAAGTGATATTTCTGATATTGCTGTTGGTGCTGAAACTTGAATTGGACTCTGATATAAATTACTTCCAATTCTTTCGAAGGTTATCATTGTAATTATTTTTTTATAATATAACTTATTGCACAAAATTTTATCGGTGCAATTATAATGTATTATGGGAATGATATTACAAATTCTGCGAAGAATATTCTTTGGTAAATATTTTTCTATGTTTTCGTATTCGTAAAGAAATTACTCTTCTGTTAGTGGAACAGCAATTACCAATGAAAAAGGGGCATATCCGATTATTTACTAATTTTCTCATTAAATGAGACATTAATTTCTATCGGATCTAAATATCTTTATACGATTAAAATTTGCCCAAACGTCATGAGAAAATGTGATGGGAAAGAGGAAACAGAGTAAAAAGAGCGAAAATATTGAAAAAATTTAAAAATAAAAGTTTCGCTTTGACTGTATGTTCTCAGAATTTTTTTCGTATATCATGATTTATAATTACCTATTCTTCCCATTGTTACAACAAACTTAAACAATAGGAATTGACATAAAATACTAACAAAACTATTTCTCTGATCTTTATTTTCACCTTTTTCGAACATTTGCTTGAGTTATTTACCATCTAGGCATGATTTCTGAGGTAAAGCTCATTTTCCAAGTTGGCTTACAGAACTTAAGTTTTACACATGTTGTAAATTGTGGTTAGTTTTCATCTAAGAATTTTTAAAATTATTTGACAAAGTAAACTTCTGAGTTTAGTTACTTTGCTGAACGTCACAATTTATAAGAAAATTTAAAATACTTGTTCTTGCAATTCATTTTAAAAATTTTGTTCCTAGTTTTTGCCTACTGTGTTGTCAGGGTTTATAACACCCAATCAAAATATTGGCTCGCAGCAGCTCTCGATGCAAGGCCGCCGTAGTCTGAAATTATCGACTCTAAGTCAGCGTTTCTTGATGGGACTGTGCTCGGTCCCCAATAAATTTTCTGTCGCTCTAATATTAACAGGATATTTTAAGTGACCCCACTAAAAATTATCCACAATTAAAAAAACTGCGCTGCAACTTCTCCACGCGACATCATTTCTTCTCGCTTCGAATCACCGACATGTGGAACAGCCTTCCCGATGACAGCGTTGGCGCTCCAAGTATGAACGCGTTCAAGAACAGACTAGATAAAGCTATAGAAAAATATATGTTCAGACTTGAAATGCCTAGCACCATATCGAACCCGGTGGATGTCTAGTAGCTATTTCAAACTATCATCAGTCATGAAAAGATCAGGTCAAATGACACGAGTTTAGATCTGTGAACAAGTCACGAAAAGTACAAGAATCGGCGACAGGCCACATTAGGCCTACGCTTCAGCGCCGACATCACTATGATATGTTATGTTATGAAAGCGTTCATGAACCATATATCCAAGAAAATAAATTTTCTCATGCAGAAAAAACTATGATTGATGAGTAAATTCAGATTTAAACATCCCAAGATTGTGCTGGGACGGGTCTTTCTGTGCTTGCCTGCATTTCTTTGTAAGCTCAGTAAGCAATATGATGCGAAAATAATTCAAAACAAGTGTAATTATTCGGACATCCAAGTAACTCGGCAAAGGTGAACCTTCGAATGACGCCTAGCATTGTAGTTCCATGCGCTGCTATAATAATTCTTTGATTCCAATTCACACGAATGCATTACACAATACACATAACCGTCTTTAAAAAATAGGCGATCAACTTGCCAAAATTAATTTGGGGTTGCTATGATTTATTTTTCAGGATTTTAGTTTATCCAAAATGAAAAACTTTTCTTGACTCAATTATACATGAACTTTTTGAACACGTGCAGCCCCAACACTGGGCAAAGATGTTGGTTGATGTCAGCAGCCGGATATAGAGGTTGCTGACAAACCAGCTTCCCAGTGACTGCATGGGTGGCAAAAATACTAGTTTATAGATCACGTATGGAAATTTTTTTTATGATTTTTTGAGTTCGTAAAAAGAAGTTTACCGTGGGGGAACCAATTCTCCTATCGTATTTATAATGCTGAAGCACTTACAACCTCAGCACTGCTCTGAAAAACCGTCTGGAGAGCGGACTGTTCTCTGCGGAAACCGTGATATAATACCAAGAACAATGAAAGCACTGGTAAGTTATACGGTCTAATACGGTTTTGCACGGTTTTCTCCGTATGATGGTGATCCAAATGATACCATACAACAGTTTACTGGTCTGTGTGTAAATAAATGAAGTGAACTATGCGTCGCGTATATATACATACTAATGTAATGTACATAATAAATCGTATATAGTAAATGTAAATGACCTAAACTGTACGTCATGAATTATAACCTAGGAAGATGTCAAAAGTACAATGATAAAGTGACAGTAATACTTGAAATCGGATTACGGAGTTGCTCCTAAAAATGTGGTGAGCATCATTTAGTGACCATATAAGGTTTATAACCGAGACACCGAGAAATTGGATGTTATTCACTATCTGTGAATAATATACTTGATATTGACTCTTAATTTATGTTACTATTATCACTATATGAATATTTAGGCTGTTATTTATAATTGCTCTTTATGAGATTTGTTTTTAATATTGATTTTGACCAAAAATATAGATGGTTCGTTAATTTTTAAATGGCTATTCTGAATAAATAGTATAAATATATGAATACCTAATATTTCCGCGTGCATTTATTATTAATTTAAATCTTCATAAGTATATGAAGGTCTATCAGTGCGGAATATCACACTAAATAACAATATTTCCCTTTTTAATCATAACTTAGACACTTTTATAATACAACACAAGAATGCGTCTATCAAGGACCAGAGACAAAACTTATCACAGTATCATTCATGTAGCTTCTTAATTGAAATGATGGGACACAGGCTATTAAATTATCCTGCTGTGCCATTTCTCCAATAATGATGAAATAATTTTCGTACAAAAATATTTTCTCAATAATTACTCACCAGGAATGAATGGCATAAATTTGAATTAACGTTATTTTTTATGTATTTCTGCAGGCGATAGCGACAATTATGGCTGTGGTTCTGACGATGGCATTATCAGCTCCGGAACCTTCGCATTCCCACGGAAATCGGAAAAAAGACAGAAATATCTTCGAGAAGATCTTCCACCCTCAACCACGCAACATAATCCAACAGATATTCCACCCTCAACCACGCAACATAATCCAACAGATCTTCCACCCTCAACCACGCAACATTTTCGAGCAAGTTTTCAACCCCAACCCTCAACCACGCAACATAATCGAGCAGATCTTCAACCCTCAACCACGCAACATAATCGAGCAAGTTTTTAACCCCAACCCTCAACCACGCAACATCATAGAGCAGATTTTCAACCCCCGCGGGTAACCGACCTGCTACAACCGTGACTCATCGGTTATAACCAGGAATAAAAAATTTAAAATTACGGGTTGTACAGGAAGAATTTTAGACGCTTGGATTGAATCGTATTGTGTATTAGATGTAGATGATTTTTGACGACCAATTTTCCAAAACAAAATTCGACTTGTGTTTTTTTGTTATAAATTAATGAAATTGACAATGAATTTACAAGTGAAATTGACAAGGAAAGTTAGGATATAATTACTCAAATTAAATGTTACTCAGAATGTTCAAGATAATTTATTAAATTTTCAGTCGCAGCTCAAAATTGAGCGAATATCGGGTTTCAATTTCTATATAACCTTGAGCGATATTGCAGAAGAAAATGCGGATTATGTTGCACGCGGCCTTCATAGGCGTCTTACACGCATCAATACTTCTGAAACCAATGCGCCTGCCTACGTTACGCATTTTTACTTCAACCCTCGCACCCACGCTGCCCTACCGGGGCACTTGCAAACGTTGGCTTAGTATTTTTCTATCCCAAGAAACACCGACGCCTGCTGTTCGACTGCGCTGAGCAGATCCACAGACAACGTGCTCGGCGAGCGGCACTTTTGCGCAGGTTACGGTGCAGTTGTAGAATCCTGCGGCACCGCGCAGGATTTTTTCCGACTCTGAGCCTTATATAGGCAGTCATAATATTCTGATGAAAATATCCACATTGTCTCTCTATTTCGAGGCATGTTTTTTAAGTAAGTACCGCTTTGCGATTCCGCTGCCACAGTGCTACGGTCGGCGTTCCGCGCATGCGCTCTGGTTACCTACATCTCTTGTCTACGCACTGACGCCATTACAGTTTGATTTTTCATTGTATACTTTGTTTACCGAGTGTTTAAGATGCCTCCAACAATCGTGAGTAGACCTGATTGTGATTTTCGGGCTGTTATACGATTTCTTAGTGATAATTAAAGGCGTAAAACAGTTCGATATTATCGTGAGATGGTTGAAGTTTACGGACAAAACATTATGAGTGATGGAATGGTAAGGAAATGGGTGAGAGCATTTAAAGATGGCCGCACATATGTGCATGATGAAGAACGGAATGGGCGTCCTTCTAACGTTATTGAAAATTTAAAACCCAAAGTTTAGGCAGTGCATTGACTTTCCTTGAGCGGTACCAATATGAAAGGAAATATTTTTCAGAACAAATTGTTACTGGTGACGAAACATGGGTGGCCTACGTCACACCAGAATCGAACAACAATCCATGGAATGGCGACATTCATCATCACCCAAAAATAGTGAAGTTAACGCAAACAATTTCTGCCCGGAAATCATGTGCACAGTTTTTTGGGACAGAAAAGGAGTATTGCTAGTGGAGTTTCTGTCTCGTAAGACAATCAAAGCAGCGTTTCATTGTGCGACAGTGAAAAATCTGCGTCCTGCAATCCAGAATAAAAGACTTGACAAGTTGAGTAAGGGTATTGTTTTACTGCATGACAATGCCCGTCAACATGTGGCTAATCATACCAAAGTTCTCATCAAATCATTTAAATGGGAAACTCTAGATCATCCTCCTCAATACAGCCCATATATGGCGCCCAGCGACTACCATTTGTTCCTGCACTTGAAGAAGCATCTGGGCGGTCGGCGTGTTCAAGACAATAACGAAGTTAAAAGATTTGTGATGCAGTGGTTAACAAGTCAGGCGGCAGAATTCTATCAGGGGGTGTTCAAAAGCTGGTGCCACGTTAGGACAAGTGCCTCAATATTCACGGAAATTATGTAGAACAGTATATTAAGGTACAGGCCTTTATATAAAGATAAAAATACTGCAATATCTTTGCACGTCTTTTTTTCTTTCCAAAACGGTGCTTACTAAAAAAACATGCCTCGTAATAATCAATGTGAAGGTTTTGAGGAATATATCTCTAAAACCATAAAACTTTCTTACCCCGATACGTGTATTAAACTAACCTCCCTCCGAAGTTTTCTATCAAGAACATATATAGGTTCCATAACTGTATTACGCGTGGCACTATAGTGATACGAAAGCGTTTCCCATGTGGTACGCAAGCGTTTCTGATGTGGTAATGTAACGAGCCAGATATTGGCCCCCGCTTTGGGTACTAGATTTGAAACCGCCGCACTCCCCGAAAGACGACTGCAGAAAAAAATGTCCTAGCCGAACTGTCTTCAGATATAGTCTGTCTCTAGTAGGAAGCCACTTCATCATACTCATTGTTGTGCCCAAAAAGTTTTTCTTTTATCTGTACCTTCCAAGTGTTATTGAAATTTGCGCAAATCTTTTGAGTAAATATTAGCCTGACTTCGTCCCTAGTCGTTCCTATCTTCCGCGAACCGTAGGGTCCGCTGGCAGAGACCTCAAAGTATTTAGATGTAGTCGTTTCCCGCTACAGTACGTAAACAAGTATGGGGTCATATAAAATTTTCATTATTTTATTTACCACTCAGAAATTATGTCTATTACTTTACACACAATAATCGGGTATTGATTTAAAGCAGAAGCCACACGCGGCCCACTTGGCCATTGTGGCCTGCTGTTACATTCAAACGTTAACAAATTCGCTAATTTTTAGCCATTGAGGTTAAATGAATGCGACATATTAGTGGCTATTAATTAGTGTTTGATATACGCGGCGGGAACATGGATGGCGTGACAGTACGATCTAAATTTGCTTTAATTAGCTTTTTTAGTTCGTGTGTTAGATGCCAGGCGATGTGAATGTATCCGAACACTTTTCTAAAACCCGGTACATCCTAGCGCATTTACTTAAATTAATGAAAGTCTTGAAAGCGGAGTTTTTTTTCATTGGTATAAATTTATTCTAATCTTTCAACAAATTAAAACTCATCAATAAGAGAACAGTGAGATGATTTAATTGAAGGCACGAAGCCTCAACAATTAAACGCGATATTTGTCCAATAAGAAAAATAAGCTTAATACAAAAACAGCGTAACACAAAAGAATTTTTCTCCCTATGTAATCAACTCAATAGACAAAAAATCGTATCAGATTTACATTGGCGTGAAGGAATCGTGCGAGAATATTTGGTATGTTAATGCAAATTTTATTAACAGAATTAAATCATAGTGTAGTTCCCTTTTTGTAATTTGTACAGAACATTTTTCTCTGTAGTTTCACTTTTCATACAATAAGCAGCAGAAAATTGATACTTTTTGACCTTAACTTTAAATCATGCTCGACGCATTACAAATGGAGTCCGTGTCTATTAATTATTCAGTTCTTGCAATTTATTTAAGTTGGCAAAGAAAAAATCTCTCCTAATTATTATTATTAATAAACATTTTTTGCTAATATAATAAATGAAAAAAATTCTGCAAAAAAAATATCTCCCGACGGATTCATTGACTCTAGCGCTTTAAAAAAGCATGGAAGTTCAATTAAGGATATTAATGAGCATTACTTGTTTATCTATTTAGAAGATAAGCAACATTAGAAAACATCTGAGAGATAAATTCACCGATAAATTAAAAATACTGTTTATTAATTAATATTTTATAATTAATATGAATTTTTATCCGAGGAAACCCAAAATTTTACAACAGGTAGAATTTTTCTCATGAATGATTTATTGAAAATGTAGAAGTAATACCGCGGAATAGAGTACTATCATTATTCTAATAAATAACGGGAAGACTTCAAGTTTGCTGATTTATTGAAAATAGTAAAAAATGAGTTTACTGCTTTCTTTCAAACTATTTAATAAAGTAAACGTCCACAAAAATTATTATTTTTTGCCACTAGATTCCGAAAAAAACGTTCAGAACATTTTTTTCTTGTTATTCTCCTTTTTTGACAAACATTTTTTTTGCCTTGTGGGCGATCTCTCGGGAACCCCCAAAGTTTTTAGAGAGAGATTCTATGTGAGATTGCAATCACACAATTTTGTTCTCTCCTCTTATAATTCCTATGCTTAATTATTCGTTTACTGCGATCGTGTCGTTGTATTGTATAATCTGTTGTCAATTTTCATTCAATAATAATGTCATAGGACTCACAAAATTATTTTTTCAAATTATGGGGCAAAAACTGAAATCATGAAATTATTAAAAAATTAGGCTATACAGTTTTCCATTTATGTGATATAATTTTCATGCATTTAACCAGATTTTGTTTTCTATTCGTGTACTTCATTTTTTTAATAACGTTGAGGATCTAATTATGCCTTTATTTTTTTTAATCATTTAATGCCAAGGGTGAATTCTGTAATGTATAAGGTACCTTATTTTACTCTACACTTGTGCTCTAATTAAAGTTAAAACTTTGAATTTCTATCTTGCTTATACAAAAAAATTAAATTCCTCGTCGATTTCCAAGAATTACAATGACCCCGGGACTGTCAATTCTTTTAACATGAAATTGTTACCGACAATTCTGTGATAGTTTAAAGCAATTTTAGATCACAACTACGAAAGAATTTTCTCTGATTTATATCATTGATTAAACTTTCGGAAACTTATATTTTTTTCTAAAATTACAGAGTACCTCTCATATAGCATTCTTTTTTCTTCAAGGCCAGCAAAATTATTATTACACTCCTTACAATTTAAAACATATATAAATAAATCCACTATCGTTAAATGTAAAACAAATTCACCTATTATTCGCATTGTTACATGTATAATGTTACCCTCGTATATTTTCCAGATGCAGTTCCTGTTTCTGTTGGTTGTGGCAGCCCTGTTGATGCTGTTGAGTTCAACAGAAGCAGCACCTCGAGCAAACCCATTCCTGTTCGGCAGGTCCTCCAGTCGAGGACGAGACTCCCGCGAGAGCATCTTCGAGACCATCGGCGATTTTGTGTTTGATTGGTAATCGACGAGCGGGATTGTGCAAGTCATCCATTGTAGCGGCCGGCCTGACAAGAAGTGATATTTCTGATGTTGCTGTTGGTGCTGAAACTTGAATTGGACTCAGAGATAAATTACTGAAACTTGGACTCTGAAACTCTGAAACATGTACTCAGAGATAAATTATTTGAAAATTCTTTCGACCGTGATCATTTTCATTATTATTTCCTTTAAAATTACTTATTGCACCAAAATTTATTGGTGAGATTATTTTGTATGATGGGAATTATATTACAAATTCTCCGAATAAAATTCTTTGGTAAATATTTTTCTATTTTTTCGCAATCGTAAAGAAATGACTTTTCGGTTAGTGTCTAACTTTGCCTAAACGATGCGAGAAAATGTAATGGAAAGGAGGAATCAGAGTAAAAAGAGCAAAAATATTAAAATTAAAAATAAAACTTTCGCTGTGATTCTATGTTCTCAGAATTTGTTTCGTATATCA